TGATTGCTTCTTGGCATTTTATCCATTCTCTTTTCAAGGTTTTGGAACATCTTTCCTATCATTACTCTGAATTCTTTTTCAGGTATTTTGCCTCTTTCCTCTTTGTCTTTGTTTGTTTGTTTGTTTTTCTTCTTTTGTGCTTCTAGTTTTTTTCTTCATTTGAGAAATATTTTTTGGCCTTTTTTTTGTTTGTTTTTTTCCACTATTGTATCTGAGGTCGCATTTCTCAGGCTTTCAGGTAGAACTCCTCCTTCCTTTTGGTTTATGCCCTTGGTGTGTAAGGTTGTGCCAGTGTTTGTGTAGGCTTCTTTTGGGTGTGACTTTTGTTTGTACTCTGGTGAAAGGAGGTAGGTTTTTTTCCACTCTAATGGTCAGGACTTCGTGAGGGGAATCCGGTTTCCTGATGACTGGGTTTGTCTTTCATCGTGCTGGTTGTTGGGTGAGGCCTCCTCCACTGGGTACTGCTGGCAGTTGGGTGATGCAGGTGTGAACAGCGGAGGCCTTTATGGGAGTTCTCACCAACAGACACTCCCTGGGGTAGGAGTCTTATGGCAGTCTAGAGTCTTGGCAGCGCTCCCACTCCAAAGCCTCTGGGCCTCATCTCTGGGGCCGGGGGGTGGGGGGGGTGGGGGGTGGGAATGAGAGTCCACAGGTGGCTTGTAATGGCATTAAAGGGGATCAAAACAAACACACTAAAACAAGAAACAAATGCATACCCCAGACAAATGTCAAATACAATATCAGGCAACTATTCACAAAAATAATGGGATACATACACAAGCATATACACACAGGAAAAAAAAACAAACCAAATAGTGTACAAAAAAAAAGAAGAAGAAGAAGAAAGTAGAAGAGATTGATCAAGTGAGGAAATGAAAGCAAAAATGATATGAACCAATTATTAACAAAACTGACTAAAAATATAAACTGGAAAACAAAACCAAAGTTATGTGTCAACTGGGGAATAAAGCAACTAAAGCAAAACAGACTAATAAACATAGTGAGATAAGAAAGGAAAGAAAGACTAGAAAAGAAAATTTCAATAGAGGTAGATAAATAAGTTTCATATGTATTAAAGAAAAACTTACAACAAGAAAAGAATAAGAAAAGCAAACAAAGGAATATATGTGGAAAAATAATAATAATTTTTTAAAAAACTTCAAAAATTAAAAACAGGAAAAAACCCACAAAACAACAAAAGACCAATGTAGAGGAAGAAGTATTTAAAGCAAATTAAAAGTGTGATTTAATAAATTTCCCAAAAGCATAAATAGATTTAACACTAGCATTAAAGTCAACAACTACAACAACACAGAGGAAAAAAAAAAAGTAAAAACCCAGTAGCAACTACTGAATAAGTTAAAAGAATAATAAATATTTTTTCTTGGATCAGCATCCATTTCCTCAGTGTGAGTCATAGTCCACCTCACCTCCCTAGGATGCCCTCCAGTTCTGGGCTGGTCTCTGGATCTGTTGTGGGGGCAGCTCAGACTCTAATCTGGTCCTACTCCTGCTGTTCTTGCTCTGATGTCCACATCGCCAGTGCTACTGTGTTTCCTTTGCAGGAACTCTCATTGTCCTTTATATATTCCATAGATATAAAGTCTGCTATTTGATCATGTGGATTCAACCTTCAGCTTCTACCACTGGTGGGAATGTTTTGGTTCTCTTCCTTAGCCACTTGCCCCTGGATTTCACTTGTGGTTTTATCTCCACCTCTGCATGTGAGTCGTCCACAGGAGTTTGCTCCTGAGGCTCCCCTGGAGGACTTGGGTGTGCCCCAGGGGGGACGGAATGTGGAGTTGGTGCAGTTGCTTGGATTGCAGGGACCCTGGCAGTACCTGGTACTCAGGGGAGCCAGGGGCTAGGACAGCAGGAAATGTGGTGCCCTTAGGGTTTTCTGTAGCCTCTGGTTGCTCTGTCCTTGTGGGTGTTGAGCATGGGAGTGTCACAGGAGCTTGGATAATGAGAACCCTGGCAATGCCAGATACATAGCTGGTGGCTGTTGTCAGGAGGTATGTGACTATTAGGGACTTTTCTAGCTTCTGACAGCTCTTCCCAGGGAGGATTGAGCATGGAGGTGACACAGCTGCTTGAATTATGGGAACCCTGGAAGTGCCAAGCACGCAGGGAAACCAAGAGACTCAGCTGCAGGGAGCTATGGTCCTATGGTCCTATTAGACTCTTTTCCTAGCTTCTGGCACTTGGCCATCAGAGGGCTTTTTTGGCTGGTCCTTTTCTGTTGTTTCACTCCTTCAGGCTCTTACAGGGCCCCCCTGTTGGTGTCATTCTCTGTTGTTCATCGCATCAGGGACTTAAAGATCACCCTGGCTGTGGTCCTTCTGTGTTGCTTTGCATGTCAGGTCCTTAAAGGGCCACCCTCCCTGCTTTGTTTCCGCAGTCTGGTGCTGATATGTGCAGAGAGAGAGGGTCGGAGATGGCTCCATCCTCTGTGTGTGACTCAGCAGTATCACCCTGCCTCCAGGTTAGCTGGCTTTCCTTCATAAGCATTTCCCACTGCAATCTTCTCCATCAGGTTCCCTCAGGCCATCTCCCCTCAGTCAACAGAGGACCTTGCCCAGGGATTGCTTTCCAATCTCTATATTCCAGCTCCAACCTGCAGCACTTTCTAGGGTACTTGCGTCCCTGCCTGGGGTGTGTGTGGCTGTGGCAAGGATCCTCTGTGTGATCCTCACTCCATTCAGACTCACACAGATCAGCTCTTTCACTCTTCAGCAGCCTCAATGCTTCACCTCTGTTGCAAACATTTCCCTCCCATTGCAGCTCTGTCCCTGCTTCAGTTCCCCAACCCCAGGGGCAGATCCAGTTCTTCTCACTCTTCTTGTTTTACCCTCCTTCCTCTGTCCTACTGAGTGTTGCGTGATTCTATATATTGTTTTCTGGTCGTCAGGTTCTCAGCTGGTGTTCTGCAAGATCTTCTGTGTCTGGAGGTGTATTCCTGACATATCTGTGGAGAGGGATGTACTCCATGCGCACCTACTCTTCCACCATCGTGGATCTCAGTGTGTGGTATAGAGCCCACACCTCCCTCCAAGTCAGGCTTACTGTGGGTGGGTGTCCAATTTCTGTTGTTGGGTCGGGATAAAATGCAATGGATACCCTGTCCTTCTCATTTGAACGTACTTATCACTTGATCATTTTTCTTGACTCTCTGTGTTGATATCTGTGCATTAGACTAAGCATCCACTTCTCCTGGTCTTCACAGACTGGGCTCATAATTAGAACCTTGCCAGAATTCAGCCTTTTCAATCAGCCTGGCCAGAATTTTGGGTGCCTCTCTAACCTCTCTGCTCAGCCAAACTTCTGTGTTTGTAGTCAGCCTCCTCCAGGAGTCTAGAGTATGCAGTGATCTACAAGTCAGAATACTTGTGGAGCAGGCAATTGGAGTTTATCACCTCACTCACTCTGCCCTGAACTGGGGAGAGGAGCTGTGGCAAATGCCTGCATGCTACTTCAAACCCTGTGCCTTCTGAACCATGATTTAGCTCTCTGTAACCCCCAGGCACCATGCAAATTTTGGGCTTCATCAGCTCTCAGGGACAGGTTAGTTAGAAGCCAATTCCCCAGGCAGATGGAAAAGATGAAGATCTAGATGTGCCATCTGATTCCTTCCATGGAGAAACTGGGAGTTGCTCACTCTGCATTAAGCTAGGGGACGACCTGTGAGAAGTGCTGGTACAGATTCATAACTGCCACTTCATTTCTGTGATCCCAGGAGATTGGAAATGCTAGGCCTCCCAGAGGCAGGCTGATTGGAAGCCTGATCCTGGAGTAGCAATTGGAAAATCGGAGACCTAGATTGTGGATCAAAGTCTTTGCTCCTCCAGGAGAGCTGCGAGTTGAGTGTTCCCTTCAATTTGTATGGTGCTCTGCTGCATGGATTTTATTGCAGGAATGTGTCAGTTTCCCTGCTGCTTAGGATTTTAGCATTTTCTCACTTGCCTTGAATGCGGAACTTCTTATCTACTGTTTTTATTTTGAATAATATAATTTTATTTTGAATAAAATTAACACAAATAGCTATTAATTTAGTATGTCTGTGGAGAGAAGGAGAGGTGAAGGTGGCCTATTCTAGTATCTTACTAATATCACTGAATTGTTTCCAAATAATGTGTGTTGGGCTTTTCTTTTCTGTTTTCAATTTTAAGTAAAAGCAATTATTGATTTTCAGTCTTTATCATTTTCTATTATTGCTATGTAATTTTAAAATTCCCCTCAGCACACTTTTTTGTCATCTCATAAATCTTATAAAACTTTACTTATCATGGTTTTATATTCATTCAATTAAAAATATTCGAAGTTTCCTCTTCATATTTCTTCTTTATCCATGTGTTATGAAAAAAATTTAGTTGAGTTCTATGAAGATATGTAGTAGGTGACAGAATAGTACATTATCAAGTTTAGTTATTCATGGTTTGAAGGATCATCATTTTGTCATTAGTAGAATGAATGCATGTATAGATCTTTGTCATCTTTATTGAACCCCAAGTACTAATATAGCTTTAAGCACCCAGTTTTGATGACAACATTTCAAATTCTGAGAGACAAAGGCTGGGGTCACTATGATGGACAGTTCTGTGATCGTCACTTGATCTGTGTTTTGGGTTGCTTAAGAGATCCAGACTAGACAATACTTTCAGCAAGTCCCAGGAAAGGGAACCCATTGCTAATATATTTCTGACATGCTGTGGGATTCCAGATCCTTTAGACAAACAGATTTCTAATAATTTCCTAGAAGGAATTCAGAGCATTTTAAATCTTGCTTTGTTCTAGAAAATAGAATTAAAATGTCTTGGTTTAATATTTTTGGAGACTCATAGTTGTTTTTTTTTTTCTTACACAGGACATTAAATGATTAGAATTTTTCTTGGTTTCTATTCATAAATGAATCCGCTTTTTGTATCATTACCTTATTTAGGTCCTTATGAAATGTCTATCAAATATATGCTTACCTTTTCTTTATGCTTTCTCTCTTTTAGAAACATGTTCAAAATATGATATAAGTATTGAGAATGGATTTTTGTCTGAATCTGCCTTTACATATTCCCTAAATAAACAAACTGGATATAAGTGTAAACCAGGATATGTAACAGCAGATGGTAAGACATCAGGATTAATTACATGTCTACAAAATGGATGGTCAACTCAACCTGTATGCATTAGTAAGTAATTCGTTATTTTAGTATTCTTTATCCTAATGATAACTATACAGAAGTACTCTTTAACTTTGTATTTTTATCTGTTTTCCTTTTTCTGTTGTTCTTGTTGTGTTGTTTTTGTTTGGGCAGGGTCATATGAAGTATTTTCTGGTTCCATGGCTATATTTGAAAACATCATTTACAAAGCTTTGGAAAATGCATACCATTTTTTTTTTTGTCTTTTGTGATTAATCACTAGTGGAGTAGAATATCATTGCACCATTTAGTTCAAGCATTTTTTACTTTAAAGCATCCTGTGAATAAAAACTAATTTTGCCAGGAGCCTTACCTCTATTCTGGGATGAGTTCATTTATTTTTAGCTGAGACTTTTATGTTGATTGCATCTGCTTTTATTTTAGGAGACTCTTAAGCCAGAGTCACTCCTCCTAAGCCTAAAAGTTATGTTTTTAAGCAAACGTATGAGGCCATGGTACATAATCTTCAAATATTATGATGAATAATTCATGTTTGAGTCTCTAGGGTAGGTATCCTTGTGAAAAATTCTCTCTTAGGAAATCTTCATAAACATCTAGTTAGTGGAGGCAGAGAAACACTTCTAGACAGGACATAATTCTGCTGTGCTGAAAGTCTTTCCTATAGCACCACATAGATGTTTATGAAGATTTTCTAAGAACAATTTGCTGAGTTTGTCTTTTTCAACTCAAAGCTACACAGTGAGTGATATTTTTGAAGTGATATTTTGCATGTTCACTTTAAGTGAAGTGGGTGTTTATAATATCCATCTCTACTGTTTTCATGTTTCTCCAATCATGTCTATGATTGCCACAGGACTACACACTCAAAATGAAAAATGTTGCCCCTTATCAAAGTTATTTTATTTCAATATTTGACAATTTTCCATTCTATCCCTCTTTTTATGAAAAATGTCTCTATTATTATATTTTACTGCTTTAACACATTATAAGATATGAAGTAAATTATTTAAACCTCTATGTTATTAGTGAAAGTGAGATTGTTAATATATTTTCTTGTAATTATTTTTGTAATATTTTCTTGTAATAGCTATAAATAATAGAACTATGTCTGTATTCAATCTTGATAAGTATAAAGAATATACAAAAATTAAAAATATAGTTGGAAAAGGAAAATCAGTATGTGAATTTAAAAAATTTTATAGAATCTTTAAAAATTTACTTGCATTTTTCAAAATTACTTTTTTCAATTAATTTTTCTCTGGCAAATATGTCACAACTGCTAATAAATTTGGTATATTAATTCAGAAAATGCTGTTATGAAAATAGTACAATCCTTCTGTAATGGCTTATTTTAATACTAGCATTGGAAAAATGCATGAGTATAATTAAATTCAGAACATGTTCATAAAAAAAAAACTCAGGGACATTAAGTGTTGAGAAAAATGTTGCATAGAAATACCTTTTTTTTTTCATTTTGAGTAATTATTTCAGGACAGTGGTATACTGCTGGTATTCTTGGCTTATTTTTAATGATTAGTACATACTAATTGGTGAAGCCCTTTTCCTTGAGATGAAACTCAATCAAATTGCCCACTAAATAATATTAGAAATGAAATCACAATCCCATTATCCCTTAGAATCCTGTGACAGGCCAGTATTTGAGAAGGCCAGAGCCAAAAGTGATGGCACGTGGTTCAGGCTGAACGACAGGCTGGACTACGAATGTCTTGATGGGTATGAGAACCGAGACGGACGCACCGCAGGCTCCATAGTATGTGGTCAAGACGGCTGGTCCGATAAAGCTGCATGCTACGGTAGGTGCTCTTTTCCAGATGTTCCTTCCCTCAAGATAAACAGAATTTAGCAGTAATTGTCAGAAGTGTTTTATTTTTACCAAATTATGCTGATCTAGAGTCATCTTTAAGGAATGATGCTTCCTTTCTTTAATGTAAACTAGAAGGAGGGGAAATTTTAAAGTCCAACGACTCACTCAATACCAAAATGACAGGGTCTTGCAACTTGTTCAAGTATTTTGCTCCTGAGTTTCTATTTATACCTCTACCTTGAATGTTAATTTCTGCAGGTCTCCACAGATGCTTTTCATTTTTTGACTTTGACATATTCTGAGGACAATGACATGCATCTCTTTTATGTTTGCCAATCAGATGTGTTTTTCCCACAAGGGCTTCAGTCTCTGGTAAGCTGAGTGGATGTTGACTGTCCCAAGTCAAGGGACAATTTATGTGCAAAGTTTTGGCAACAGAGTAATATTTGGAAAATATCAAGGTGGGTGGATTCTACTCAATGAGAGAAAATTTTATTTCTCATAAGCAAGCAGGCAAATGGAAATGACTTTGTAGGTGGTACTGGCAGAAGAAAGAACACTCTCGCAAGAGCATCACAACTTTCACCTGAACACATTGTGGTTGTGCCGCCCATGGACCATAAACATTGCATACATCAACTGCAACTGGTTTAGCCAGGAGATATACATGTGAGATTATCACTCTGTAAATGATGACATCAGATTGGAAAAGAATGTAGAATGAAAATAGAAGAGAGCTCAAGACTGAGCCCTGGAGCTTCCAACACTGAGGTGTCTGAGAGAAGAAGAATAGATGGCAAAGTGGACAGAAAGAAAGGAGGACCCAGAAAACTTAGGGGGAAACATGTCAGAATGACTGTTTCATAGATGTGGACAGAATAATATTATATAATAACAAGGAATAATAAACTAACTAGGAGGAATTCCTGTGGAATCAGCCTGAAATGGTTCTATATCCAATTCCACCATTTTCTAAATATAAATCTAAGAGCAACAACCTATTTGAAGTTTGTTCACTCCATGTAATCTGTAAAATGATTTAATATTTACAAATGTTCTAATATTTCAAAATTTCTTTTAGTTATTAAAATAAATTATTCATGTAAGCTTCTTGTCATAATACCTGCCATACAGTTTAGTCAAGGAACTTGTAATCTAATTACATTAGAATAGTTATACTAATGAATATTTCTAATTCAGTTAATATGTCAGGTTAAAGACTTAAAATGTGGTAGATTTGGCTACATGGAGGCCAAAAATAATTGTAACAGAGAGAGTTTCAGATGGAGTAGACGGGGAAAAACCTACTTACAGCCTGCTGAAGAAATGATTAGTAAGAAATGCAATACAGCATGAGGATATAACTCCATCAAAAGGCTTGGTTGTGGCAGAGAACAAAAGCTTTAAGATATATTGCTTGGCAAATTATGCACTGAATAGAGCATTGTTCTAATGGGAAAGATGAGAGTGTAATGAACGTTGAAGAGGATGAGCCAGAGAGGGAAGCAGGCAGAGACTGACCACAGGCTCCCTGTGAAGGAGGTGGGAGAGGAACCAGCAGTTTTGAGAAAGCCCTGGACTTGGTGACAACTGGATTCTTTGCAACTTCCTGTCAGGAGAAGGGGGGAAAATGGGTGTGTAAATCCAGTGCTGGAAAGAAGCAGGTGCTGATGGTTCCTGGTCTCATTTCGGAAGGAGACAAAGTCATGTGAGACCGAATGGTGCGTGGGGGAAGGAGGAGAAGGAACACTGGGCAGTGCAGCAAAGATTGGACACAGAGATTTCAGACAGACACACAGGGGGAGCTTGTTATAGAAACGGCCAGGCTTGTTCAACAGTGTCCAGAGGCCATGTAATTTCACTTCTCAGGCTGTCAGCAAGCACCTAATATGTGCCAGAAGTTGGCTAGGAGAAAATTGTGAAAAATACAGTGCAGAATGGTGGTATGCCTTTCAAGAGCTTTCATGCCAGTATGAAAAAAAAAGGGTGAATTAAGGCAAATAATGAACCAAAAAGTAAAAATACTTCTATTATATTGTTCCAGTAAGTGTGTTCTAAGAACAGAAGACTCCAAGCACTTAGAAAAGAGAAGGGACCGAGGGTCAAGTTTATGTAGGAAGACGTCTATGCAAACGAAGCCTGGAAACCATTAAACAGCAGAGACACACGCCTTTGCAGCAGCCGAGGCAGCAAAGAAATTGGCTTATCTTTAAAAAGATCGGATGGTAAGAATCTGCCTGCGATGCAGGAGACTTGGGTTCGATCCCTGGGTCAGGAAGATCTCTTGGAGGAGGGAATGGCAACCCACTGCAGCATTCTTGCCTGAAGAATTCCACAGACAGAGGAGTCTGCTGGGCTCTATAGTCCCTGGGATCAAAAAGAGTCAGACATGCCTGAGCGACTACACCTTCACTTTCAAAGTTTCTGAGCCACCTGACAGTAAATATCCACCTGCATCGCGGGCGACCTGGACTGGATCGCTGGGTCAGGAAGATCCCCTAGAGCAGGGAATGGCTAACCACTGCGATATTCTTGCCTGAAGAATTCCGTGGGGTTTTGGCGAGCTGCAGTCCAGGGATCACAGAGAGTTAGACACGACTGAGCTACTAACAATTCTAAGTTAAGGGAAAGGCTTTTGAGATGATCATGGCTTCCCTACAGTCACTCTGTGAAGACAGCAGTTGGAAAACAGCCTAATGCCAATATCTTTTTGTTGTTGTTAAAGCAGCATTTTACACAATATGATAAAATATGAATTTTATCTAAGGTAAGTACAAAATATGTAAAAGAAGTCACATACCATTAGAAGTATTGCTATGTGGAAGTTTGGAATAGAATTTTAGGAAAGGAATCCCAATGGTTCTTATCAAGAGTGACTTCACAGCTAAGCTCCATGACTCAACATTAAAACAAAAGCAGAAACAAAGTTATTGATTTTGAGGGGATGGGGCATTACTTTTAAAACTAGTTAGCATATATATAATTTTATGATAATGTTTGAAGACAGTACGACCTTTCTTTATGGTGAGATTCTAATTCTTAAATTCCAATTTTGAAGTTTATAAATTATTTAGCAATAGGAAGTTTCCAATTAAGAATAATGCAATTTTTGATAATATATAGCGATCCCTGGGTGGCTCAGATGTAAAGAAACTGCCTGCAGTGTGGGAGACCTGGGTTTGATCCCTGGGTTAGGAAGATCCCCTAGAGAAGGGAATGAATTACTCACTCCAGTATTCTTGCCTGGAGAATTCTATGGACAGAGGAGCCTGGCCAGCTATACTCCATGGGGTCACAAAGAGTCAGACACAACTGAGCGACTAATCCACACACTGCAATGTCACAAATTTCATAGATTTTACACATTTTCAATGATAAGTTTACACATTTTAAAAATGAATCAGAATAATTAAACATATATCAGTAGTTAAGATCATTTATAGGTACAATAAGATTAGATGTTTGTATTGTCATATGCCTATGTGACCTTGAACATGTTTACTCATTTTGTTTCATGTTTTAGTTTGACTTCTACACTTGTAGATAAAATTAAGTGATTTTTATTGTACCTGTAACTCAAATGCAAGAGAAATGTCTCTCTTGTGTGTTTTGGTTTCCCAATTATATTTTTTTAAATACCATTTTATCATTTGTGTTCAATTTTAAAATTCTATCATTTTTTTTTTATTCTGAGAGAATATTTATACATTTTGAGACCAAAAAAGTAGCATTTTATTTTGTAAATGTCAGTGATGAAATCAGATCCAGTATTAACAAGTTGACATTACAGATAAATTATCAAGACATATATGTTGCTGTTCAATACCTTAATATTTTTAAAAAGTTCCAGATGAGTGCAGAGTGTGTATAAAAACTAATATTGTAATGTTTTTTAAGGAAGAGCATTAATGTGCTGTCCCTCTGTGGATGCAGTACCCAGCACCTTATTTTCTGTGACACAAATAGTATTTATTATGCAATGATTAATTGTTCTCTAAATTATTTATCTTTTCAATAGAAAGAGAATGCAGTGTTCCAGAAATAGATACATACTTAGATGCTCATCCCAGGAAAGAAACATTTAAAGTTGGAGATGTGCTGAAATTCTCCTGCAGTCAAGGCCGTATTATGGTTGGAGCAGATTCAGTTCAATGCTACCACTTTGGATGGTCCCCTAAACCTCCAACGTGTAAAGGTAAATATTTATCTGACAGTTGTTGGAGCAGAAGTTGGGATTTCAGATATCAACCTTTTTATTTCCCTCTCAATTTTCTGTCCACTTCCAGTGCATCTATAATCTAATGCATTACACCAGAGATATACCCACCAAGGACATGGGCTGGGTAGTAGATACCTCACTTTTATTTAAGAAACTGATCTTCAGGTGCTTCTTGAAATATGTGGTGGAATAGCCACAGAAATGCATAAGGAACTTGACACTGGCAGAATTTCTTGTTAGTTTTCCTATTTCCTGCAATTCCACGATAATATTGGATAGTTATATACTGTGGGCTTTACCTCTAGTGTCCTCAAGTAGTTCTAAACAGTGTTCAAGGAGCTTAGAGTCAGTTCAGTTGCACATATCTAATCATATGAATCAGAGTTAAATTGTTCAAATGCTTTTCTCAAATGATATTTTTTCAAAAAGTTTTTGTACAGTGTTTCTGTGGAATAAAAGTATTGCTATAATTTATACACCCAGACTGAGTAATTGGCTTGCATATCAATTAGCATGTCTGGATAATGAACATGCTTTCTGACCAAACACGGACTTCAATATGCTAGTTCAAGACGAGTAATAGAATTTGTAAACATGAGTTTGGCGTAAACACCGTTCTTTTTCTGTAGTCTAAGAATGCTAAAGTAAATTATATAATAAATAAAAGATCATTTTGAAATAAATTTATGCACTAGCTGGATTTTTCAGTGATAAAACAGACAATGCAATCATAATTTATGCAATATTTCTACAGTAAGGAAAGTAAAACCGTGTGCTCCACCTCCTCAACTTCTCAATGGGAAAGGGAAAGAAATACACAAAGAAGAGTATGCACACAATGAGGTTGTGGAATATGCTTGCAACCCCAGATTTCTGATGAAGGGTTCTCATAAAATTCAGTGTGTTGATGGAGAATGGACAGCTTTACCTGTGTGTATTGGTAATGTATTAAAATTAATAATATTTAAAGGTAAATCAATATGTTTATTTGTATCCATATACACATTTAAATAATATTTTAAAGACAAGCATATTTTTGTGGATTTTCAGAGGAGGAGCGTACCTGTGGAGATATACCTGACCTTGATCATGGCGATGTCAAGCCTTCCGTCCCTCCTTATCAGCATGGCGACTCGGTAGAGTTCAGTTGCAGAGAAGCATTTACAATGATTGGACCCAGATTTATCACGTGTATTAGCGGACAGTGGACCCAAACTCCTCAGTGCATTGGTCAGAAATCAAATCTCATATTGACATTTAGTATTTGCTGCCATACTGTTAAAATTTAGAGTCATCCTTGAAAATGTCAGATCTTAAATTATAATGATCCCAAACATTTGCTTATTATACTTTAATATGTGTCTAAAGAGGAAAAATTTAAACTAGCAATAGAATTTTATGCATCTTTCTCACCTGATATTAACATTGTTGATCTTGACAAGTGTGAAGCCTAATCTTACTGATAGATACTCATGTGATTAAAATGTGAGTACTAGTTACCAGGAAAATACAACTATCATTGCAGAAATGCCATTTTTGCTTTTATATGGTACTCTTTCTTTTAGAACATTTGAAACCAGAAATTTTAGTTGAGGAATACCCATTTGATACATTTCTGTAGGAATCTTGCCATTTCTTAAAGCTTCTAACAATAATAATTTTTCAGTCTGTTTCAAATTCTGCAACGAGAAGTTACTGTGCTGGGGAGGGTGGGCTCAAGCCCTCCCTGTTAGTAGGTAACTGTAATGGGAGGCACTTTGGGTGGGGCCAGGAACCTGCACTGACACATTTCCCTGTGAGAGACTCATTCTGACCTTTGGATGACCAAGTCTTTGATGACTGACCAGGAGAATCCATCTAGCTGCCTTCTTTCATTTTTCTCTTGGAATAGACTCTTTCCTGGAGTTTTCCTGGCCTCTGCATTCAAAGAGAGCCCTGGGTGTCCAGGCCTAGTAACTCATTATATTTCTAGTCATTAGTTATTCCAAGAAGGTAGGGCTTAGGCTCAGGCCCTGAGTGAGGGCCGGGCAGATAGTGGTCTTCTTGGCCAACAGTATGTCAAAAGACCCATACTCAAAAGATCAGTTGACAGATGGGAGACATTCAGTAGTTTATTTAGTTAAACAAAAATTTTTTTCTTATTAATCCCTACATTTTTGTGAACATATTCCTGTCCTAGGTATTGCCAGTTCTTCAAGACCAAACCTCATCTTTTCCTCTTCTATATCCTCAAATGACCTCACCTCATTTAACTTTTCATTCTACCTTATGCCAAAATGTCTACTTCAATTATTGTTCTTCTGACCTCAGAGCTTTCCTTGCAAAGGTTAATCCTCTACCTGTATTCAGTTTAATGTAGTCCCCTTTTGCTATACTAGACCTTATTCCAGTTTTCTTCTCTCAAGGTTTATTTTGTAACTCTGTCTAATCTAACTTGTCATTCTTCCTTCTATGCTTATTTTCTTTTAATAAAATAAGTCTGCTTTCCTCCCAGAAACCAGTCCATCAGAGGATGAGGCCAGCAGACACCCCTTCTCTTTTTGAGTATACGTCTTCCTCTGGCCAGCGTTCCTTGAAGAATACTATTGATTTAGTGTCCTTCAGTACTCTGAACAAATCTTAGAAACAGGGCTAATTCTCTATCCTCTGGTGTGTTTTGAATTCAGCTCCTTATTTTATTTCTTCAGAGTTTCGTTTTGAAATCATCACTTTTCTTTGACTAACTACTTGACTTTTCCTTATTTTATTCATTTCACTTAACCTTTATCATTAACAAATCATTAACATATACTACCAAAGACCTATAGTGATATTTTGTCAAATTCAAAAGGAAACTCCACCTGCACTGGATTTTTGAAATAGGTACCTATATAAAAAACTTTTTTCCATATTTAACTTACCCTGGAGCTGGAAAAAAATTGTAATCATGGCATTATATTGGATTATAGAATGATTTGATACATAACATACTGGCCCAAAGACTCTAAGTGTATTTACAAGAAATCGGTTGTAATTCTTAGTACCCATCTTCTTATTCCAAGTATTTGTTCACTTTTGGTGATCAGTTAAAAGATTTGCTTAAAAGCTCAGATTCTTTACAAAACACCTTGGATATAGTTTTCTTATTATGTTTCATTACATTCCTTGAAAAAATATATATAAAGTAGCAACTTCGTATGCTATGTCCACAGATAATTGTTTTTATTTTAATGTTTTAAGATTGTGAATTAAAAATAATGCAGAGGTGCTTAAGGTCAATAAACAAATTATTGTGAACATTTGCATAGATGTCAAGTTTGGGACCAAATTTATTCATGTGGTGAGTATTAGCTATATAGATCATACAAAAGTATTCCAGTCCAAAAGGCAGAAAACTTTAGGATGGGCATTTTCTCTGAAATCTCAAAAACTGGATACAGAACTCAGGTTCATGTATAATTGTTCATCTCATGTACTTTGGTCAGTAATAACTTGGTTGGTGGAATTTGTAGGCACAAATTCTAATTTCATTATGTTAGTGACTCCATAGCTATTTTTTGCTATTAGCTATTTGGTTCTTAGAATTAGTCTTTCAAGGCAATGTTTTCATTTTATAGCAACAGATGAACTTAAGAAGTGTAAAGGGTCAATATTATTTCCAACTGAGGGAAAACCATCATATAAGACTGAATATGACCACAACACCAACAAAAGTTACCAATGCCGAGGAAAATCAGAACTCAAACACTCAATCTGTATCCACAGAGAATGGGATCCTAAAGTAACCTGCAAAGAAGGTAAAGTTTTGTCTGTAATGTTTTCAAACCTTTATGCTATTTCTTTCTAACTTGTAAAAGTAGTATCTTTGTGCCCTTCAAGGAAATTTAGTTATTTATCATTACAAATAGTTTTCCATCTGCAAGGTAATTTAGAAGCTAATCAATACATTGTGTCTAGATATTAATTGTGTAATGTGCCTTAGTCAACTATGAGACAAGTCACTCAGAGACTTTGTGACTTTAAATTAGCATCTGGGCAGTAGGTGTGCTCATTTCCACAGGAAAGCCATTGCTTCTGATTTTGTGTATTACACATAAATGTTCTTAGGCCTATGCTGAACTATTATGTATTTATCCATGTATCTATTTATGTATCAATCTATATATCTATATTTATGTATCTATCTAATCATCTATTTCTCTATTTTTTTAACAATCTTGAAAAGTCTTGAGTCATGCTAACATGAATTCCAATTGAATAGGTTCATTTCAATTTTCCACTTTTCATATCTGTGTTTCTCTTCTCTGACTCTGTGACATCTTGACTCCCTATCCTCAATAATTCTACCGATTTCTACAAGCCTAGAATATCTAGAAAGAAGCTTCAAATCAATACAAAACCAGATCTACTGTCTAATATTCAACCTCATAATTCTTCCTCCAATACAGAGATCCCTATATAAAAATCATACTACAATAAAACTGTTAATGGAGGATACATTATTTAGAAAAACATAACTATTTGGGAATTAAACAATAAGAATCTAAGTAATTGCCATGCCAATACATAATGTATATTATGGGCTTCCCTGATAGTTCAGCTGGTAAAGAATCTGCCTCCAATGCAGGAGATCCCAGTTCAATTTCTAGATCAGGAATATCTCCTAAAGAAGGGTTAGGCTGCCCACTCCAGGATTCTTGGACTTCCCTGTTAGATCAGTCTACAATCCACCTGCAGTGGGGGAGACCTGAGTTCAACCCCTGGGTTGGGAAGATCCCATGGAGGCAACCCACTCCAGTATTCTTGTCTGGAGAATCCCCAAGGACAGAGGAGCCTGGCAGGTTGCAGACCATGGGATCACAAAGAGTGGGACAAGACTGAATGGCTAAGCACAGCATTGTATATTATACATTATATATTTATGATTGCTTAGTCCTTGTGAGTTAACTTTTATAATTATAAAATATTTCTTAATAATTTTTGTCATACACCCTGTCTGGAAATCTATTTTATCTTATTAAATATAGTTAAATTAGAACAATTTATAGTTTCATATGCTGAAGGAATCCCAACAAATTTCAAGAAATTCATGTCTATAAATTACTCTAAATTAATAGCAAATATAAAATTAAAAGAGCTTGCTACACAGCTGCATCTTTAAGGAAACAAGTAACATGTATAGATAGTGAAGTACATATGTTCTACAGTTTCTGCTAGAAACTTTGTAGTGTTACATGAGTATATTTAAGTATGTTATCTGTCTTATGTTAACATTTGAGGATTGCTTGAAGTAGGAGTTGATTTTTTATGGATGGATTGTCAATTATTGTAGGAAACTGTGTGGAAAACACTTTGAAGTGAAAATCAGTTAACTATGAAAGTGTTGATTTATTTCTGAACTTTCTATTTAGTCATTTAACTATCTTCACTGCTGCCAAATTACCTTTGTAACTACTTTTTAGTAGACCGGAAGTCTGATTGCAGTCTCCAAGTATGTTCCTCTCACTCAAAATTACCTTAGTTATTCTGGTCCTTAACATAGAAATTTCAGGGAAAACTTACAAATTTTTATAAAACATGGGATTGTATATTGAAAGGGATGGCTTTGTAATGAGAAATGCTTTATGGAGAATTGACATCTTCACCATATAGAACTTTGAAATCATAAGCATGGAGTGTCTCTATTTATTTCTGGTTCTACTTTTCCAGACATACCAGTAGGCTCCCCTGGGGGCTCAGACAGTAAAGAATCTGCCTGCAATGCAGGAGACCCAGGTTCAACCCCTGAGTGGGGAAGACCCCCTGGAGAAGGGAATGGCTACTCAGTCTAGCATTCTTGCATGGAGAATCCATGGACAGAGAAGGCTGGCAGACTGTAGTCCATAGGGTTGCAGAGAGTTGGACACGACTGAGCCCATGTGAATTCTGATATGCAGTTTTCTTCTTTGAAACATTCCCCTGATGAAGAATTGAATTTCTTTAATAGGGGTTATGCTATTCACATTTTCTACATTGTCTTATCACTGTATGAAAGTTGTATTTTTCAAGAAATATGTCTATTTTACCTAACTTATGAAATTGATTGATATAACACCATTTCTAATATTCACTTGGCATTCTATTTTTTCTTTTAATCCTACAGTATATTTGGTGATATCACTGCTTTCATTCCTGGTATTGATAGTTGTTTCCCTCCTTTATTTTGCAATCAGAGTTTTGTTTTTCAATATTATTATTTTCAAATTCATTTTTGGCACTCTTAATTTCTTCCATTTCCTCTCTTCTCTAATGTTTATCTTGTGAATACTCGTGATTTTTAACTTTGTTAATTTTCTCTGTTTTCCCTTTTCTGTTAATCTTTCTCAATTTTTTCTCTCTTGTGGACTTAATTATTCTTTTTTCTAATCACTTGATTTTAATTTTACTCAGTTGTTTCTTAAGATAGAAAATGAAATCATTGATTCAAACTGAAAGGTTGTTGCTGAACTATAAGATGCCGGGATTCTTGGCCTCTGGAGGAGACGAATTCAATCCAGGGCCAGAGACGAGGCTGGATCGCTCGGAGCTTTTGTGTAATAAAGTTTTATTAAAGTATAAAGGAGATAGAGAAAGCTTCTGACATAGGCATCAGAAGGGGGCAGAAAGAGTCCCCCCTGCTAATCTTTAGCTGGATGTTATATAGTCACTCGCAGTCTGTTAATGAAAAGAAAGGAATGTCTTAAAATTCAGAATGGCACCAGATAATTTATCTCAGGCCATTAAACAATTGACTTGAATCTTGTAGAAGGGCAGATTACCACACAAATAGTTTTGTTTACATAGATTAGGAGAACAATATCTGAGTATAACATAGGGGTTTGTCAAGTAGTTTGAGCCATTTTGGTGGAATTTAGAGTCTGGGGCAAAGGCATAGCACTTTAACATAGCTTTAAGATAAACATTTCCATAAGAAAAATGTATTGGTTAACTCAAGGTTTGAGAATAGTTAGCTTCAAGTAAAACCAGGTGTCATGGCAACACAGCATTTTAAGAGAAACCTTTTAAATTTGTATAGAGAAGGAAAAAAATATCTCTAGTTTGTTTTCTCCTGCTGCTTAAGAGAGATAAAAATGTCTGGCACTTGCAGCCTATTTCCTCCATTTGGAGACCCCTGGCCTTCCTGCCTGCTACCCTCTCAAAACCATCCTACTTTTAAAATCTAAACCTGTAAAGCTACCTTTTTTCACTTCTAATATTGCTTTACCCATGTAAAACTACCTTTCTGCACTTCTAAGTATTGCTTTACCCATGCCTCAAAAATTTATAAATATGTATCAATTTTATTTTCATTTAACTCTATATGAAATATTTTCTAATATTCCTAGCGACTTCTTTGACATAACAGTTGTTTAGAAATTGTTGTTTAATTCTCATGATATTTATGATTTTCTAAATAATGTATTATCCATTATCAGTTACACTGCAGTATGATTTTTATCTAGAGACCTGCATATATTTACTGTAGGCAGTTTGGAGAATATCATGAGTGACTGCATAGATAATTTATTTTTATTGATTTCTAATCTAATTCACTTATAGAACACACTGTGTAAATTTTTAATATTTTGAAATTTATTCTTAGTTGCATGGCATATCTTTGTGATGTTATCTTAGCATATCTTTGCATGTCTATCTTTGTGATGTTTCCATTTCAAACAATATATATTCGTATTCTAGTTTCTAGCTCAGGTTAACATTATTTATAGTGTTCCAAAAATGTATCTATGTCTTCTTTTTTTTCATTTTTACACTCAACTTTTTAATATTTTTATTTATTATTTTTAATATAAATTTATTTATTTTAATTGGAGGCTAATTGCTTTACAATATTGTATGGTTTTGCCATACATTGGCATAAAAGTTTTTTTTCCAGTTGTTCTATCCATCAGCGTAGGAAGGCTCTCAGAATTGCTAACTAGGGGTGTGAATTTGTCTATTTCTTCTTTCAGTTCTGCCCATCTTTTCTTCAAGTATTTTGATATATTCTTAGATACATTATATATTTATAATGGCTTAGTCCTTGTGAATTACCTTTCTAATAGTCATAAAATATGTCTTCATAGTTTTCATAATATGGCATCTCTGGAAGTCTACAATAACTTATTGAAATGTAGCTAATTAATTTAAAACACTTGATTATTTTCATGTGATAAAAGAATTCCTAATCAATTTCATGTAATCAGTGTCCTCAACTTATTCTCTATAAATTAAAAGCAAATGTAAAGTAAAAGAGAGCTAGATAGACAACTTATTCACCCATGTCACAAATCTTGAAAACTTAAAAGAAAGGATTTTCTGTGATTTACTGAGAGAAAATATCTTAAATTAAGTAAAATGAAAATAGCATACTTTGGAATCTATGGTATACAGCAAAAACAAAGATATGTATAGATTGAAACTTGCTTTACAAAATAGAGGAGCTCAAGTAATAGGTAGTGCAGTCTAGCATCCAGAAAAGAACATAGATCCAAAGAACACGAAGGAAAGAAAAACAAAAAGTAAATTGTCAATTTTTAGAATAAGCTAAAAAATATAAATGTATGATTAGCAAAAAAAAAAAAAATTCAATTTATAGGGAAATGTAGTGTATAGACCAACTTTTGTAAGATTTTTAGCAAGTACAAATTAAGGTTATTAGAAGAAAAGTGTTTAAACTTTAGATATGAAAGAAAATAAATTCTTGAAAATGCATTGATAAAAATGTCAAGATAGTTAAAACAGAAATGAGAGAAATATTTTTGATGAAATATAAAATACTCCAGGTCTTCCCTGGTGGCTCTGATGGTAAAGCATCCACCTGAGTTGCGGGAGACTTCAGTTCAATTCCTGTGTTGGGAAGATCCACTGGAGGAGGGCATGGCAGCCCACTCCAGTGTTCTTGCCTGGAGAATTCACCTGGACAGAGGAGCCTGACAGATTATAGTCCATGGGGTCATTAAGAGCCAGACATGACTGAGCGACTAAGCACAACCCAGCACACAAAATACTCCTATTGACTGAGGAAACCTGATGATATTACTAATGATGAATAAAGTGATTCAGTCAAATACTTCCCCGAATTTAATACAAAATGTTGGGTCCCTGAAAGCATTTATGTTTCCAGCCTATACTTGCATAGTGCTTCTAATGAAATAGAAGTGAAGTATGACAGGAGAAAGCAAAACCAAGGAGTCATCAGTTCAGTTCAGTCGCTCAGTCATGTCCGACTCTTTGCCACTCCATGAACCGCAGCATGCCAGGCCTCCCTGTCCATCACAAACTCCTGGAGTTTACTCAGACTCATGTCCATTGAGTCGGTGATGCCATCCAGCCATCTCATCCTCTGTTGCCCCCTTCTCCTCCTGCCCTCAATCCCTCCCAGCATCAGGGTCTTTTCCAATGATTCAACACTTCGCATGAGGTGGCCAAAGTACTGGAGTTTCAGCTTCAGCATCAGTCCTTCCAATGAACACCCAGGACCGATCTCCTTTAGGATGGACTGGTTGGATCTCCTTGCAGTCCAAGGGACTCTCAAGACTCTTCTCCAACACCACAGTTCAAAAGCATCAATTTTTTGGCACTCAGCTTTCTTCACAGTCCAACTCTCACATCCATACATGACCACTGGAAAAACCATAGCCTTGACTAGATGGACCTTTGTTGGCAAAGTAATGTCTCTGCTTTTTAATATGCTATCTAGGTTGGTCATAACTTTCCTTCCAAGGAGTAAGTATCTTTTAATTTCATGGCTGCAGTCACCATCTGCAGTGATTTTGGAGCCCAGAAAAATAAAGTCAGACACTGTTTCCACTGTCTCCCCATCTATTTCCCATGAGGTGATGTGACCAGATGCCATGATGTTAGTTTACTGAATGCTGAGCTTTAAGCCAACATTTTTATTCTCCTCTTTCACTTTCATCAAGAGGCTTTTTAGTTCCTCTTCACTTTCTGCCATAAGGATGGTGTCATCTGCATATCTGAGGTTATTGATATTTCTCCTGGCAATCTTGATTCCAGCTTGTGCTTCTTCCAGCCCAGTGTTTCTCATGATGTACTCTGTGTATAAGTTAAATAAGTAGGGTGACAATATACAGCCTTGACGTACTCCTTTTCCTATTTGGAACCAGTCTGTTGTTCCATGTCCAGTTCTAACTGTTGCTTCCTGACCTGCATACAGGTTTCTCAAGAGGCAGGTCAGGTGGTCTGGTATTCCCATCTCCTTCAGACAAGGAGTCATAGACATCTCCAAAGTCTTTCAGGTGTATTTATGCCGTCTTCCCTCAGTTGAGCAGAACAGGTTTTGTCTTCAGATTATGAATTGGATATCTGAAGAATCTCTATTTGATGGACTCAGACACAGTTTACAGAGGGATCTTTTATACATTCTGGTCATGTACAAAAACCCAGGCTTGCTAATCCATAAAAGAAGATGCATTCATCCATGTATATAACCTTAACAGTGCAGGCAAGCTAGTGAACTATACCTCCAGGAGAGTTCACAATAGTAAACAGTACAGTCTCAATCCCAGTGAACATATCTAACCTTGTTTAAGAATCAGCATCAAATTAATTGATTATTAACTAAATGTAGTTTCATCTCTGGATAATCAACTCTCGGTGGTAGAAAATTCTGTGAGGGCTTCAGTCCAATTACAATATATCTGATCATGGATATCTGTTAAAAAAACAAAAAAGACCCTGATATCAGTTTTTCCTCAGTGCCTATAATTGAGTGAGCAATTCACTTGTAACATTCTGAAGATAAGAAATAATTGAAATCAGTCTTACATAAATCATGCAAGGTTGACCACAGGAAGAATAAAAGGAAGAAACTACAAGAAAGACCACGAGACTGTGAACCAAATGTGGTATATTAAAGTGCTAAAGAAGCTGAAGAGTATAATTATAGAGTATCATACTATTTGATCATTTGTGCTATATATTGCAACTTTCTGTTTATTGAAAAATTTCCTTTAATGTTTGAACTTATGCTTTATAATCAAGAAATCTAATTTTAATATTTTCTGAAGCACAAATACAGCAATGCCCACCTCCACCTCAGATTCCCAATGCTCGAGATATGACAACTACAGTGAAATATCAGGATGGAGAAAAAATATCAATTCTATGTAAAGAAAATTATTTAATTCAAGATGCAGAAGACATTGTGTGCAAGGATGGGAGATGGCAGTCAATCCCACGTTGCACTGGTAAGTAGTGCATAAATTTCTTTAAAACATTCTTTAAACAAGATTAACACTCCTCTAATCTTTGTATCATTTCATGATGGCTCAGTGGTAAAGTATCCTCCTGCAATGCAGGAGATGCATGAGATACAGTTTCGACCTCTGGATGGGGAAGATCCCCTGGAGGAGGGAATGGCAATTGACTCCAGTGTTGTTGCCTGGGAAATTCCTTGGACAGAGGGAGCTGTTGGGCTAGAGTCCATGGGGTTGCAAAGAGTTGGACATGACTGAGTGACTGAGCATGTACAGAGGCTTTGCATGGATCAGCAAGATGAAGTCCTCTCTGTCTCTTCCAATTCATCTTGAAACAGTAAATCAGTTTCAGTTAATGAATTGATGAACACTCTCATCTCTGATGTGAAACACAGACAAACTCTTTGGGCTACTGAGTAAATAACAGATAAAATTTATGTTTATGCAAATTTTTTTCCTAATGATCAAAAGGACAAGTATGAAGGGCAACTGGGCTGCCCAGCCTGGGAGTCATGGTCCTGGAGGATAAGCCTCAGAAATTCTGGCATAGAAGTCCAGTGTAACTTGTGCACAAGAAAGCCAGAGGGCCGTAGGAAACAGAGCTGCTGCTCTTTAAAGCCACACAGAATTCTCACGTGCTCTGTGCCCCAGTAAAGAGGCATCAATGGGAAAGAGGCTTGGGTTAGACTAATTTGCTTATCTTTGTGAAACTCCTAGAGAGATAGGAAACAACTGGGATCATACATACTGGTGCCAGCCATCGTGAGAGACAAGTGCCACTTTAGAGTTCTCCCCAACACACACATACATAGCTTACTAGCACCAGAGGCTTAACAACTCACCAGCATGACAGCACCAGCCCCAGACTCCGCTGGGCTCCTCAGCTGCTACACCTGCATCTCACCCTGCTCTTGGGTGTGATATCAGCCCAAGTATGGTTAGGACCTGAAGCCAGCTCCATCAACACTTCATCCTGCCTGAGTGGGCTGGTAGCCACCACATGAGGAAGGGGCTGGCAGCCAACAGGGGAGGAGATGCGATCCTTTCCTACCAGTGCACCCAGAGTGGTTCGCATTGATATAGCAGAAGCGCACCCCATAGCATCTAGATCTGCTGCCCAGATCCTACAGAGGGAGCATTCTGCTGGGCCCCATAGAGTTCTTCGTAAGACCACTTCTCTAAGATCAGGAATACATCTAACTCTTAGAAATAAACACAGAGTTAGGTAAAATCATGAGACACAGAAATACATTCCAAACAAAGAAACCAGACAAAATCTCAAAAAAGTCACTAAACAAAGTTAAGATAACCCATCTACCCAATAAAGCATGCAAGATAATGACCATAAAGATGTTCAATGGACTCTAGAGAAGAATGGATGGAAACAGAATTTTAAGAATAAGAAAATATAAAGATGAACTAAACAGTGCTGAAGGATACAACAGCTGAAATGAAAAATACTCTACAGAAAATCAACAGTAGATTAGAGGATTCAGAAGAATGGATCACAGATCTGGAAGACAGGGTAACGTAAACTTCCCTAATAGCACAGGAAAAAGGAAAACGGATTTAAAAAATGAATATAGGTTAACAGACATCTGAGAAAACATCAAGTGCAGTACCTTTCTCATTATAGGGATCTAAAATAGAGAGAGACAGAGACTTATTTGAAGAAATAATAGATAAACTTTTTTAACCTGGGGAAGGAAACAGACATTCAGGTCTCGAAATCAAACAGTCCCCAAAAGTCATGAACCTGAAGAGGTCCATACCAGGACACATTATCATTTAATGGAAAAAATTAAAAATGTTGTTGTTCCAAAGTAAATGGCAATGGGGTCATACTTATCAACAATTACCTTAAATGTAAACGGGTTGAATGCACCAACCAAAAAACAAAGACTGGCTGAATAGATAGAAAAACAGGACCCCTATATATGCTGTCTACAGGAGTCCCACCTCAAACCAAGGGAAACATACAAACTGAAAGTGAAGTGCTGGAAAAGGTATTTCTTGCAAATGGAGACCAAAAGAAAGCAAGAGGAGCAATACTAATATCTGGTAAAATAGACTTTGAAATAAAGGGTGTGAAAAAAGACAACAAAAGACACTTTCATAATGATTAAAGGATCAATCCAAGAAGAAGATATCACAATTGTAAATATATATGCACCCAACATAGGATCACCTCAATACCTAAGGCAAACACTAACAAGTATGAAAGGGGATGTTAACAGTAACACAATAAGAGTGGGAGACTTTAATACCCCACTCACACCTATGGTTAGATCAACTAAACAGAAAATTATCAAGGAATCACAAACTTTAAATGATACAATGGAACAGTTAGACTTAATCAATATCTACTGGACGTTTCACCACAGAATATTGAATTCCACCTTTTTCTCAAGTGCAGACAGAACATTCTCCAGGACAGATCACATCCTGAGCCAGAAATCTAGCATTAGTAAATTCAAAAAATCTGAAATCATTTCAAGAATCTTTTCTGATCACAATGCACTAAGATTGGATGTCAACTGTGGGACAAAAACTATTAAAAATACCAACATATGGAAGCTAAATAACATGCTTCTGAATAACCAACAAATCATTGAAGAAATCAACAAGGAAATTCAAATATGCACAGAAACAAATGAAAATGAAAACACAGCAACCAAAACCTCTGGGATTCATTAAAAGCAGTGCTAAGGCAAAGGTTCATAGCATTGCAACTCACCTCAAGAAAGAGGAGAAAAGTTACATAAATAACCTAACTTCACACCTAAAGCAACTGGAGAAAGAGGAAAAAAGAACCCCAGTGTTAATAGAAGGAAAGAAATCATAAAAATTAGGGCAGAAATAAATGAAAAAGAAACAAAGGAGACTACAGCAAAAATCAGCAAAACTAAAAGCTGGTTCTTTGAGATGATAAATAAAACAGAGAAACTATTATCCAGACTCATCAAGGAAAAATAAAAAAGGGAGAAGAATCAAATCAACAAAATTAGAAAAGAAAATGGAGAGATCACAACAGACAACACAGAAATGCAAATGATAATAAGAGACTACTATCAACAACTATATGCCAATGAAATGGAAAACCTGAAAGAAATGGATGAATTTTTAGAAAAGTATAACCTTTCAAAACTGAACCAGGAAGAAATAGAAAATCTTAACAGACCCATCACAAGTATGGAAATAAAAAATGGAATAAAAAATCTTTCAACAAACAAAATCCAAGGACCAAATGACTTCACAGGTGAATTCTACCAAAAATTTAGAGAAGACCTAACACCTATCCTACTCAAATTCTTCCAAAAAAGTGCAGAGAAAGATAAACTCCCAAATTCATTCTATGAGGTCACCATCACCCTAATTCTAAAACCGGACAATGATGACACAGAAAAATAAAACTACAGACCAATATCACTGATGAACATAGATGCTAAATTCTTCAACAAAATTCTAGCAAACAGAATCCAGCAATATATTAAAAAGATCATACATCATGACCAAGTGGGCTTTATCCCAGGGATGCAAGGATTCTTCAATATTTGCAAATCAATCAATGTGATACACCACATTAAAAATTAAAAGATAAAAACCATATGATTATCTCAATATATGCAAAGCCTTTTACAAAATTCAACATCCATTTATGATTAAACAAACAAACAAAACTCCCCAGAAAGCAGGCATAGAAGGAACATACCTCAACATAATAAAAGCCATATATGATAAACCCACAGCAAACTTTATCCTCAATGGCAAAAAATTGAAAGCATTCCCCCTAAGCTCAGGAACAAGACAAGTATGCTGTCTCTCAACACTACTATTCAACATAGTTTTGAAAGTTTTAGCGACCATCAATCACAGAAGAAAAGGAAATAAAAGGAATCCAGATTGGAAAAGAAGTAAAGCTCTCACTGTTTGCAGATGACATGATTCTCTAGATAGAAAACCCTAAAGACACCATCAGAAAATTACTGGGGCTAACAAATGAATATAGTAAAGTTGCAGGATCTAAAATTAATACACAGATATCTCTTGCATTCCCAAGCATTAACATTGAGAAAACAGAAAGAGAAATTAAAGAAATGATCACATTCACCACTGTGATGAAAAGAATAAAATACTTAGGAGTAAGTCTACCTAAAGAAACAAAATCCTTAAATATAGAAAGCTATGAAACATTGATGAAAGATATTGAAGATGATACAAATTGATGGAGAAATACACCGTGTTCATGGATTGGAAAAATCAGCATAGTGAAAATGAGTACACTATCCAAAGCAATTTATAGATTCAGTGCAATCCCTATCAAGCTCCAAGGGCATTTTTCACAGAACTAGAACAAATAATTTCACAATTCATATGGAAGTACAAAAGAACAACGAATAACCAAAGCAATCTTCAGAAAGAAGAATGGAACTGGAAGAATCAGCATAACTGACTTCAGACTCTACTACAAAGCTACAGTTATCAAGACAGTATGGTACTGGCACAAAGCCAGAAATATAGATCAAAGGAACAAAATGGAAAGCCCAGAGATAAATCCACACACCTATCGACACCTTATCTTTGACAAAGGAGACAAAAGTATACAATGGAGAAAAGACAATCTCTTTAACAAGTGGGGCTGGGAAAACTGGTCAACAACCTGTAAAAGAATGAAACTAGAACATTTTCTAACACCATACACAAAAATAAACTCAAAATGGATGAAAGATCTGAATGTAAGAACAGAAACTATAAAACCCCTAGAGGAAAACATACGCAAAACACTCTCTGACATAAATCACAGCAGATTCTCTATGACCCGCCTTCAAGAGTAGTGGAAATAAAAACAAAAATAAACAAATGGGACCTAATTACACTTAAGAGCTTTTGCGCACTGAAGGAAACTGTATTAAAATGAAAAGACAGCCTTCAGAGTAGGAGCAAATAATAGCCAATGAAGCAATTGACAAAGAACTAATCTCTAAAATGTAGAGACAACTCATGCAACTCAGTACCAGAAAAATAAATGACCCAATTAAAAAATGGGCCAAAAACTAAACAGACATTTGTCCGAAGAAATGATTCAGATGGCTAACAAGCACATGAAAAAATGCTCAACATCATTCATTATCAGAGAGTTGCAAATCAAAACCACAATGAGGTACCATCTCATGCTGGTCAAAATGACTGCTATCGAAAGTTTACAAAAAATACATGCTGAAGAGGGTGAGGAGAAAAGCGAACACTCTTACACTGTTGGTGGAAATGCAAACTAATACAGCCACTATGGAGAACAGTGTGAGGATTCCCTAAAAAACTGAAAATAGGCCTGCCATATGACCCAGCAATCCCACTGCTAGGCATACACACTGAGGAAACCAGAATTGAAAGGGACACATGTACTGCAATGTTCATCGTAGCACTGTTTACAATAGCTAGGACATGGAAGCAACCTAGATGCCCACTGGCAGAAAAAATGGATAAGAAAGCTGTGGTACATGTACACAAAGGAATATTAGCCAGGTAGTAAAAAGAACACATTTGAATTGGTTAATGAGGTGGATGAAACTGGAGCCTGTTATACAGTGATGTAAGTCAGAAAGAAAAACACCAGTACAGTATATTAACACATATATATGGAATTTAGAAAGATGGTCATGATGACATTACAGGCGAGACAGCGAAAGAGACACAGATATAAAAACAGACTTTTGGACTCTGTGGTGGAAGGCGAGGTTGTAATGATTTGAGAGAACAGCATTGAAACATGTATATTACCATATGTGAAATAGAGCATCAGTGCAAGTTTGATGCATGAAACAGCGCACTCAAAGCCGGTGCACTGGGACAACCCAGAGGGATGGGATGGGGAGGGAGGTGGGAGCAGGGTTCAGGATGGAGGACACATGTACACCCATGGCTAATACGTGTGAATGTACAGCAAAAAACCACAATATTGTAAAGTAGTTAGCCTCCAATTAAAATAAATTAATTAATTTTAAAAAAGTTCTGTTGCCAAGTCATGTACAATACTTTGTGACCCCATGGACTAGAACAGGCCAGGCTTCCCTGTCTCTCAACATCTCTCAGAGTTTGCCCACGTTCATGTCCTTTGAATTGGTGATGCCAGCCAAACATCTCATCGTCTATCACCCTGTTCTCCTTCAAAGAAAAGGCAGTAGTTACCTACAAGGAGACCCTTACAAGTAGCAGCAGCTTCTGAAGAATCTCTTTTTGGTCACAAGGGACTGGCACAACATACACATAGTGGTGAAAGGAAAAAAACTTGCAGCCAAGACTACTGTATCCAGGAAAAACATATTGCAGCCATAGTGTGATGTCCCTTCACACCTGTCATCATGGTTATCATGAAAAGGGCAACATCAAGTGTTGTCAAAGATGTGAAGGAAAGGGAATCTTTGTGCACTGTTGGTGGGATTGTAAACTGGCAGAGTTGCTATGGAAAAGAAGATAGAGTTTCCCTTAAAAATTAAAAATAGAACTTCTGTATGATCCAGCAGTTCCACTACCTGATATTTATTCAAAGGAACCAAAACACCAATCTAAAAAGATATATGCACTCCAATGTTCATTGAAAGATTACACACAATTACCAGGATTTGGAAGCAACCTAAAAAGTCCACTGATAGGTAGATAAAGAAGATATTATATATATATATATATATATATATATATATATATACATGCAATATGAACTATAACCAAGCCATAAAATATGAAACATTTCTATTTGCAACAACATGGATGTGTCTAGGATGTATAATTCTAAGTGAAGTAGGTAAGATAGAAATAGACAAATGCCACATGATTTCACTTATTTATGGATCTAAAAATAAAACAAAATCAAAGGAAAACAGGCTCATATGGATACAAAAATTTAATGAGTTGTTGCAAGAAAGGAGGAGGGGTTGTCAAGGTAGATACAAGGGGTTTGGAAGTACAAACATGTAATAAAGAGCCAGGGGGATGTATTATACAGCATACAGAATATGGTCAATAATATTGTAATAAATTTGTTAGGGACAGATTGTTACTAGACATGCTGGTAGTCCCCTTATAATGCATGTAAAAGTAAAATCATTTTGTAGTACAGTTGAAGCTAACTTACTGTTATACATCCAACATTTCAATAAGAAATTCATTTAAAAAAGGATGAAGGGGCATATTGAACAAGTGGTAGTGGCATAGTGTTTATGGAGACAAATAGCTTGCAAGTTTCAAATATTTGTCAGTTTTAAAATCCTTTAACTTGTTCTGAGTATTCTTTTGTTTAATTCTTACTTTAAAATCCAAAGTAATATTTGATTGCATTAATATTTTTAATTTAAAGATTATATTTGTACTTTACTCTTTGACCTCTGTACTTCATATAGAAAAAATTGGATGTTCTCAACCACCTCAAATAGACCATGGAACCATTAAATCATCCAGCTCTGCAGAAGAAAGAAGAGAAATACATGAACAAGGGCTGTATGCACATGGCACGAAGTTAAGTTATACTTGTGAAGAAGGCTTCGAGATATCTGCAAATGATGTGATAATATGCCATATGGGAAAGTGGAGCTCTCCCCCTCACTGTGTAGGTGAGGACACTGGGCAAACCAAAATCTATTTTCAGTACCGTTCATTCAACTAATCAATTGTCATCAAAGCCATGAGACTCGGTCCTTTAGATTTCTAAATATATCAAGTAACTTATCTATTTATAGGTAATTTATGTATTAAAATAAAATGTGTATATTTATATGTTAAATCAAATTGGACATAAAAGTAAACTTTTTTGTTATTAACAATTTTGTTTCTTCTATATAGAATCACTTTTCAATCTGGCAATTTCTTACAATATACACTACTTTTCCTAAGATGATGTGTGGAGTCTCAATGTGTTTTTCTTTTATTTTCATGATTGTTTAGAGAGCACTGATGGTTTCTTTTATATATTGGTAATTTCAGTTTTAAGTTCTTGCTCGAGTGGACACACACCAGAATGGTGATTTCAGGAAAAATTGTGCACTTTCCTCCCATGTCATGGAAGTTCCTGTATAATCATTTATTATTTTCAAGTTAAATTACCAAATATGTTGACCAGTACATCAAATTAAATTTCAAAGTTAGAAAAACATGAAATTATTCTTTCATTTCTTCCCAGGACTCCCTTGTGGACATCCACCTTATATTCTGAATGGTGTTGTATCTCACAAGAAAGACAGCTACCAATATGGAGAAGAAGTTACTTATGACTGTGATGAAGGGTTTGGAACTGATGGACCTGCATCTGTGAGGTGTTTAGGAGGGAAATGGTCTCGTCCACATGATTGCATAAGTATAGTGATAATCCTTTTATTCTAAAGCTGACAAATATCTTTTAATTCAAAGCATAAATGGCACAAATATGAAACTAAGCAGTAATTCTAGAATTTAATAAGGTATCTAGGGAAAGTTCTTAATTCTGGTAGAGAATTAATAATGCTAGAAATAATAAAAGTTTGATTTGTTGTTGCAGTTCAATCATTCAGTCATTTCTGACTCTTTGTGACCCCATGGACTGTAGCAAGCAGGTGTCCCTGTCCTTCACTGTCTCCTGGAGTTTGCTTAAACTCATGTCCGTTGAATTGGTGATGCCATTCAACCATCTCATCCTTTGCTGTCCCCTTCTCCTCCTACCCTCAATCTTTCCCAGCATTAGGGTCTTTTCCGATGAGTTGGCTCTTTGTATCAGGTGACTTCCCTGGTGGCTAAGACGGTAAAGCATCAGCTTAAAATGTGGGAGACCTGGGTTCGATCCCTGGGTGGGGAAGATTCCTTGGAGAAGGAAATGGCAACCCACTCCAGTACTCATGCCTGGAAAATCCCATGGACAGAGGAGCCTGGTAAGCTACAGTCCATGGGGTCGCAAAGAGTTGGACACGACTGAGCGACTTCACTCACTTTCACTTTCACTTTCATCAGGTGACCAAAGTATTGGAGCTTCAGCTTCAGCATCAATGCTTCCAATGAATATTCAGGATCGATTTCTTTTAGGATTGACTGGTTTGATCTTGCAGTGCAAGGGACTCTCAAAAGTCTTCTCCAGCACCACAGTTGGAAAGTATCAATTCTTTGGCACTCAGGCTTCTTTATTATCCAACTCAAATTCTTACATGACTACTGGAAAACTCATAGCTTTGACTAAGTGGACTTTTGTCAGCAAAGTGATGGCTCTGCTTTTTAATACGCTCTCGAGATTTGTCATAACTTTTCTTCCAAGGAGCAAGCGTCTTTTAATTTCATGGCTGCAGTCACAATATGCAGTGATTTTAGATCCCAAGAAAATTAAGTCTGTCACTGTTTCCATTTTTTCCACATCATTTTGCCATGCAGTAATGGGACCAGATGCCATGATCTTCATTTTTTGAATGTTGAGTTCTAAGCCAGCATTTTTAGTCTCTTCTTTCACCTTCAGCAAGAGCCCCTTTAGTTCCTCTTTACTTTCTGCCATTAAGGTGGTGTCATCTGAGGCATAGTTGAGGTTATTGGTAATTCTCCTGGTAATCGTGATGCCAGCTTGAGCTTCATCCAGGCAGGCATTTTGCATGATGTATTCTGCATTTAAGTTACGTAAGCAGGATGACAATATACACCCTTAAAGTACTCTTTTTCCAATTTTGAGCCAGTCAATTGTCCATGTACAGATCTAACTGTTACTTCTTCACCTGCATAGAGTTTTCTCAGGAGGAAGGTAAGGTGGTCTGTTACTCCCATCTCTTCAAGAATTTTCCACAGTTTGTTGTGATCCACACAATCAAGGGCTTTAGCATAGGCAATGAAGTAGATGTTTTTCTGGAATTCCCTTGCTTTTTCTGTGATCCAATGGAGGTTGACAATTTGATAACACTAACTCATTTATCTGTTTCACATCATCATGGGTGCAGTTTGAACATCCTCTGATATACATCACAGATTTCTGGTCTCTGTTCCTGTACCATGGCTGAACTTTGCTCTTATAACTACTCAATTTGCTGTTAATTTGTCAATCATTTCTTTGTAATATGAAAATTTCTAAGACATTTAACATAACTCAAGGTAACATATTTTGATAAAAGCAAAAATAGAAACATTCATATTTTAGGTGTGCTGTCATGAGAGAAGAGAATTTAAATTTGAGAAGTATGCAGCTCTACCTCTTAGAATGTCACCATCTCATGTTGCATTTTTGATAATATAGAGACAATCAATGTGACTAAATCAAGATTTCTGACATTTGTCTCAAGGTATAAGAGAAATGCTGTACAATATTCATTGGTTTGATATGTAACCATTTATTTTATGGAATATAATCAGTGGTCGCTATGAATCTTTAAAGATGTACTAAACAAATGCACATTCTTTTTTCTTTCAGGCACAAATTGTGTTAACTTGCCCACCTTTGATGATGCTGTACTCATAGATCAGGAGAAGGATTTCTATAGGTCAGGAGAACAAGTGGCTTTTAAGTGTCTATCATATTATCAGTTGGATGGATCTAATACTATACAGTGTGTGAAGAGCAAATGGATAGGAAGGCCAGCGTGCAGAGGTACTTTGGTAAAATTTTAAAATTTATATAAGTATCTGAAGTAATATGATGTAGAAAATTCCCTCCACTATCACTAAATGGACATATATTACTTTTAGGCCAGGTCAAAAACAGCTTGTGCCTGACCATAAAGAGGGATGGACTTGAGTTTCCACGTTTGGTGTTGTAGCCCAATAGCTCTCAAAGCACAGTCCCGGCAGAGCATTCTCAGCACATTCTGTAAACTGTTGGATGTGCAAGCAGATTCACAGGCTCACTCAGACTTGTTGAATCTAAATCTCTGGGGCTTCAACTCTGACAGTGTTTTTATGATTCCCAAGGAATTCTGTGTATATTTTGGTTTAGGCCCCATGGCTACACCCTCTTGTGGGTACAGCCTCTGCATCCCCTGAATCGCACTGAGGAATGAACATCATTGATGGTGGTGTCCTTAGCATTTGCCCCAAAATATCATTATAGTTTTGTAAATTTGCACTTTATTTTTCTATATTTTTCCCAGATCTTCTGTTCAGATCTTTAATTAATCATCTTCTCCGTGCAACTATAGTATTCTTCAAAGTGTGTTAATTCTTGATCAAGTCTCTAAAGAAAAACCTACTGTGTTTATTTTCTGAAAGGCCATAAAGTTATATCTCATAAACAAGATGAATGTAAACCAAATCTTGATGTCAAATGATATTTTTATTATGTTTTCCTTGTGGTGTATAAATTCATTTAGAATTTATATACTTTATAATTTTATTTTACTAACCTCACAAAGAGATTTCCAGGAAAACTTTATTTCAGTGGCCTAAAAATTGTGTATCACTTTTCTAGTGAAGTATAGGGGAGAGATTTAAGATGCAGAAGTTTAATTCATGCTGGAAAATATTGCTTTATTTCCTTTCCTTTAACCTTGCATATAAACGGATGACAATTAGCAGTCTTTCATGACAGATTAACTGTTGAATCAAAATAACCATGGAATATATTTGACATTCTATTTCCTCCTTTCTGTTCTTGATAACCATTATATTAGAGATACTTTTTTACCTTTCTATTTAGATGTTTCCTGTGTGAATCCACCTCAAGTGGAAAATGCTGTTATACAAAATCAGAAGTCTAGATATCAAACTGGTGAGAAAGCACATTACGAATGCATCGGGAATTATGACCTCTTTGGGGAGACAGATGTTGTATGTTTAAATGGAACTTGGACAAAACCACCTCAGTGCAAAGGTAGAGTATCTTACTCACCCTGTCCACCCAATTAGAGAATATATTAAGAACAAAATATATTGATACAAAATTAGGATGAAGTGGCTTTTCTGGAATCATTTTTAGGTTAAAAAAAAATGGTGTTGAAAATCCCGTTCTTTTGTGGTCTGAATATGTACTCTAACATGTTTATTGTATGACAATGTTGACCAGATTTGAGCAGCTGGAATCATGGGACATTTCCTGTCTTAAACATTAAGATAGTCAGTTGTTTTCTGAAGAATAAGTGTGTAAAAGATACAATAATTACATGTAACAGCCCAAGAAATTCCACTTTGAGACATGGAATAAGCAGCTGGGGCCTGATCACAAAATCTGACATAGATGTGGGCAGCTGTACCTGTGGATGATACTTAAAGGTAGGTTACTAGCTGAGTTCCAGCAGAGCTATTTAAAATCCTACAGGATGATGCTACAAAAGGGCTACACTCATTAATGTCAGCAAATTTGGGAAACCCAGCAGTGGTCACAGGAGTGGTCAATCCTCATTCCAGTTCCCAAGAAGGGCAGTACTAAAAAATGCTCAGATCACCAGACAAGTGCAGCGTTTTTTGGACTTCCCTGGTGGTTCAGACGGTAAAGTGTCTGCCTACAATGCGGGAGACCCGGGTTCAATCCCTGGGTTGGGAAGATCTCCTGGAGAAGGAAATGGTGACCCACTCCAGTACTCTTGCCTGGAAAATCCCATGGACGGAGAAGCCTAGTAGGCTACAGTCCATGGAGTCGCAAAGAGTCAGACACGACTGAGCTACTTCAGTTTCACTTCCACTTCCACTTTCCCATGCTAGTAAGCTTATGTTCCAAATCCTCCAAGCTAAGCTTGATGTGAACAGCTGATTCATTGAAAAAGACCCTGAAACTGGGAAAGGTTGAAGGCAGACAGAGAAGCGGGTGACAGAGGATGAGATGTTTGGGTGACGTCAGTGATTCACCCAAACTCTGGGAGAGGTCAGGGACCCGGAAACCTGGCTTGAGCAGTCCATGGGGTCGCAAAGTGTTAGACATGACTTGGTGACTGAACAATAACTAGCTGAACTCATTCAGGAAATTAGTGTACACAAAAAATAGTCTGAAACTTAGTCCTGGGACACTTCAGTGTTTAGAGATCAGACAGGATGGGAATCCAAACCAAGAAGTACATTAACCACTTCTAGTTTTTCAAGTTAACTTTTGCCTGGTGTGTAATTTTTGCACTCTCCACTTGAACATGTTTTCATGTTTAAAGTGATTTTTTTTTTAAGACAACATACAGGTGAGTCTTGTTTAAGGATCTACCCTGACATTTTCAGGTTTTTAATTGATGTATTTATGACCATTTATATTTAGAGTGACTTATTAACTATTAGGAACATTCTGCCATTTTCTTATTTGTTTTGTGTGTGTTTCCTACATTTCTCAACGTTTTTCTTTTCTTGCCTTCCTTGTGGATTTTTGAACATTATAAAATAATTTAACTGTGATCTGCATTGTTTTTGAGTATATCTCTTTGCATGGTTTTCTTAGTCTCTCTGGTATTAAGATACACATTGGTAGTTTATCACTCCCTACTGTTGCTGACATTTTACCACCTCAGATGAAATGTGGAATGCTTACTTCCATTTAGATTTATTGGTTCTCCCCACGTTTTTAACATAAATGTCTCTAGTATTCCCTCTGTATGCATTGAGTACCATATCAGATGACAATTTTGCACAACTATAATGATATCAACAGGGAAGTCATACTCTTATTATTTTCACCCTTATTTTTTAAAAAAAATATCCATTCTAAAATCTCAATTCTTTTTCTATTTTGCTTTCTTTTGAAAAGTTCTTAAGTATAGTTCTGCTGGAGACAAATTCTCTCAGTTTTGCTTGTAAGGGAAATTCTTTCTTTTTCTCTTTAATTCAAAAGGATAGTTTACAAGATATAGGATTTGAAGTTGACATTATTTTCATTCAGCTTTGGAAAAATGTTCTCATTTCTTCATGGCTCTCTGGTCATTGATGAAATTTCCACTGATGCTTGAATCCTTTTTTCAAAATACATATGCATATTTTTCCCAAGTAAGTATGCACATCTATCAAGCTGCTTATGAGATTTTTTCTGTAAGTTTCAGGAATTTGATTATGATGAATTTTTTTAACTTTTTATTTAGTATTGGGGTATAGCCGATTAACACTGTTGTGCTAACTTCAGGTACACAGAGAAGGGACTCAGCCACACATATGCATGTGATCATTCTCCCTCAAACTCCCTTCCTATCCAATCTGCCACATTACACTCCACAGAGTTCCCTGTGCTATACAGTAGGTCCTTATTGGTCCTCAACTTTAAAAGTAGCAGTGTGTTCATGCCCACCCAAATTCCCTAACTATCTCTTCTCCCATCATTCCCCCGGCAACCATAAATTCCTTCTCTAAGTCTGTGAGTCTGTTTCTGTTCCATAAATAAAGTTGTTTGCAAAATTTCTTTTAAGAGTCCACATATGAGGATATCTTATAAGTTTTCTCCTTCTCTTTTTGACTAACTTCACTCAGTATAACACTCTCTATGTCCTTCCATATTTTTGCAAATGACATTATTTCATTCTTTTAATGGATGAGTAATATTTCATTGTATATATGTATCACATCTTTTTGACCCATTTGTCTGCTGTTGGACATTTAGGTTGATTCCATATCATAACTATTGTAAACAGTGCTGCAATGAACATTAGGGCATGTGTTTCCTCTTAGACCAAGTTTTTCACCAGATCCATGCCCAGGGGCAAGATTGCAGGATCATATGTTAGCTCTATTTTTAGTTTTCAAAGGAGCCTAAATACTGTTCTCTATAGTGGCTGTATCAACTAACAGTGTGGGAGGGTTACCTTCTCTCCACATACTTGTGAGAATATTGTTTGAAATGAACAGGAATGGGTGAATTTAATTCAGATGACCATTATATCTACTACTATGGGCAAGAATTCCTTAGGAGAAGCAGAGTAGCCCTCACAGCCAAAAAAAAAGTCTGAAATGCAGTACTTGAAAGACAAGTCACTTAAAATCACAGTAATCCAAGTCTATGCCCCACCCACTAATGTCAAAGTATATGAAGTTGACTGGTTCTATGAAGGCTTGCATTACATTCTAGATTAAAACATCAAAACAACAACAAATAAATCTCCCTTTCATATAGGGGACTGGAATGCAATCGTAGGAATCAAGAGATACCTGGAGTAACATGCAAGTTTCGCCTTGGAGTACAAAATGAAGCAGGGGAAAGGCTAAAAGAGTTTTGATGAGAGAAGACATGGGTCATAACAAACACCATCTTCAAACACAAGAGACAATTCTACACATGGACATCATGAGATGGTCAGTACCAAAATCAGAATGATTATATTCTTTGCAGTCAAAGATAGAGAAGCTCTATACAGTTGGCAAAACCAAAACTGGAAGCTGACTGTGGCTCAGGTCATGAGGTCCTTATTGTGAAATTCAGACTTGAATTGAAGAAAGCAGTGAAAACCACTAGGCCATTCAGGTCCTTTATGATTATCTAGTGGATGGGATAAAAAGATTCAAGGGATGAGATCTGAGAGAGTGTCTGAAGAACTATGGATGCAGGTTTGTAACTTTGTACAGGAGGCAGTGATCAAAACCATCCCCAAGAAGCACAAATGCAACAATGCAAAATGGCTTTCTGAGAAGGCCTTACAAAGAGGTGAGAAAAGAAGAGAAGCAAAACAGAAAGGACAAAAGGGAAAATGTACCCATCTGAATGCAGAATTCCAAAGAATAGCAAGGAGAGATAAGAAAGCCTTGTTAAATGAGCAATGCAAAAGAAAAATAGAGGAAAGCAATAAAATGGGGAAGACTAGAAATGTCTGCAAGAAAATTAGAGATAGAAAGTGAACATTTCATGTAATGATGGGCAGAGTAAAGAACAGAAATGGTATGGCCCTAAGAGAAGCAGAAAATATTAAGAAGAGGTGGTAAGAATATACAGAAGAACTGTACAGAAAAAGACTTAATGACCCAGATAACCACGACGGTGTGATCACTCACCTGGGGCCAGAAATCCTGGAGTGTGAAGTCAAGTGGACATCACTACAAACAAAGCTAGTGGAGGTGATGGGATTCAAGCTGAGCTATTTCAAATCCTAAAAGATGATGCTGTGAAAGCACTGCATTTAATATGACAGCAAATTTGGAAAACTCAGCAGTGGCTATAGGACAGGAAAAGGTCAGTTTTCATTCCAGCCTCTAGAAGGGCAATGCCAAAGAATGTTCATACTACCACAACACAACTGGGCTCATTTCACGTGCTAGCAAGGTAATACTCAAAGTCCTTCAAACTAAACTTCAACAACATGTGAACTGAGAACTTCAAGATGACCAAGCTAAATTTAGAAAGACGGCAGAACTAGAGATTAAATTGACAACATCCGTTGGATCATAGAAAAAGCAAAAGAATTGCAGAAACACTCTGCTTCATTGACTATACTAAAGTCTTTGACTGTGTGGATCACAACAAACTGTGGAAAATTCTTACAGAGATGGGAATACTTGACCACTTTACCTGCCTCCTGAGAAACCTGTATACTGGTCAAGAAGCAACAGTTAGAACCACAATGGAACAACAGACTTGTTCAAAATTGGGAAAGGACTATGCCAAGACTGTATATTGTCACCCTGCTAGCTTAACATCATACAAAATAACAGGCTGGAAGAAGCACAAGCTGGAATCAAGATTGCCAGGAAAAATACCAATAACCTCAGATACACAGATGACATCACCCTAATGGCAGAAAGCAAAGAGGAAAGAAGAGCCTCTTGATAATGGTGAAAGAGGAGATTGAAAAAGCTAGGTTAAAACAACATTTAAAAAATGACGACCATGGTATCGGGTTCCATCACTGCATGTCAAAAATGGGGAAAAATGGAAACAGTGAGAGACTTTGTTCTTTTCAGCTTCACAATCACTGTAGACAGTGA